CCGGCACCGCAACCCGAGAGGCGCAGCTGCCGCCGGGGGCTCGGGGATGGGCGGGGGGATTGTGGGGCGCGACCCCCGGCTCGTGGGGGGGATCTCGGGGGTGGGAATCGCTCCCCGCTTGTCCCGGGGCTCTGCGGGGGTCCCCTCCTTGTGGCGGCCCTGAAGTTACGGGGATGGTCCGCACGCCGCCCCCCGTGCTGCTACAATTATATCCCACCCCCCAAAAAAATTCTTGTCCCCCAAATTAAACCCCCCACTCCATCCTCGCCCCCAAATCCCACACAAACTCCCCCAGCGCAATAACGCGGGTTCAAACCATATATAAAAATATAAATATATTATAAAACCACAAATAAATCAAACTATAAAACTCTCGGGGGGTGTCAGTGCCGCCCCCCCACCCCCAAGGTGCGTGTGCAGCTCCGCAAACCAGCCCGACCAGTTTGGGGCCAGGCTGCCCGCTGGGACCGGGATCGGGTTGCCGAGAGCCGCTGGGATGGAGGGTGGGAGAAGCCATCGGTGCTTCCCGGTTTTGGGGTTTTTTTTTGGTTTTTTTGGTTTTTTGTGGGGGTTAAACCCCCTGTGGGCCGTGGAGCGGAGGGGGCTGGGGTGGGGGTAACCCCCCAAGAGAGATGGGGGAGAGGGGAGGGAAGGACGAGGGGAGGAGGAGGAGGGTGATGGATCCTGGGATTGGGATGCGCTTGGGATGCTGCTTTGAGGGAACCCTGGGATGGTTCCCAAAACCAGGGAGCCCAGGGTGGTCCTTGGGCAGCTCTGGTGGTCCCCACGAGCCAGGGGTGGTCCCCAAGGATGGGTGGCAAGCAGGGAAGCACCAGGGACGGCCCCAACGTCCCATCGGATGCTTCCCAGGATTCCGGGAGGGTCCTCAGGTAGGGAGGCAGCTGGGATGGTCCCCAGGTGCAAGGATGGACCCCAAGAGAGTCCTGGAGACCTCGGGACACTTCTGGAGCCTCCGAGATTATCCCCAAGAAAAGAAGAACCCCAGATGGTCCCCAGAAATCAGGATGATCCTCAAGACCCCAGAATGGTCCCTGAGACCCCGGGATTGTCCCTGAGACCCCAAAACTGTCCCCAAGATGGAAAGCACCCCAGATGATCCCTCCCCAAGATCCTTGGGTGGTGTCCAAGCAAGAAAGAACCTGGGATGATCCCCAAGAGCCTGGGACGGTCCCCGAGTTCCCAGGATGGCCCCAACCAAGGAGGGACCTTGGATGGTCCCCAAATCCGTGGGATGAACCCCAAACAAGGAGGCGCCTGGGGTGGTGCCCATGCCAAGGGATGATCCCAAATCTGGGACATCCTGAGACCCTGCATGGTGCCCACCCAAGCAGGGATCGGTGCCCTCAGCTCCAGGCTCATCCCTCTCCTGGCATCGTCGATGTTCCGGCCCCGCCAAGGTGAGGCCGAAATTTTCGCGGAGCTCTCGTCCCGCCGTAAACCGAGCGGAGCAAACGGCCCTGTTTAAAAATTTACATCTCCTTCTTTTGTTCCTCTGCCGAATATTTAATGGGACGGACCTGGAAGAGCCTCTGGAAAGGTGGAGGGGGTCGGGTGGGGCCGGGCTCGGAGGGGGATGGAAGGATGATGCAATATTGATGCGGAGGGATGAGGGACAGCGGCCGAGCTGCGTTCGCCGGGGAAGCCGCTGGGTTCAGGGCACATTCTACGGCAAAATCCTCCCCCTTTCCATCAGATCCCGGCTGAAAAACGGGGTGGAAGCTCAGGGGACAGGGAGGTGGGAGCTTTGTTCACCCCGAGCTGGGAAGTGCAGGGATGAGCATCCCGTTCCCGTGGGTTTGGGGGGGTTTTGGCGTCACCGCGCTCAGGTGGGGATGAAGGGAGGAGTTGGGGGAAAAGAGCTAAAAATTGGGAAGGTGCAAAGCAGGGAGGGAGAAACGAAAAGCTCAGAATCACCGATTATGGGGAAAACGGAGATATTTGTCACAAACATGCCCTGAGCTGGGAATGTTCCCTGCAGGAGCGCTCCCGGTCTCCCGGGATGTGACAGGACCCGTCTGGGAAGGTCCTTTCTGGCTCCAGCCCCGCCATTCCAGCCGGGAACGCCCGGCCTTGGCTTGCACCGCTGGACAGGCACATCCTGAGCTGGAATTTGGGGTCTGCATGAAGGAAAAGGGAGCCAAACCCTTTCCCCACAGCCATCGCTGCCCCTCTGCTCTTCCCGAGGGGTGCAGACGGCTCGGGGGGCTCCTGGTCCCGCCGTGGGGGTCGGGGGGGGCCGTGTCCCCCGGGAATGTCATGCATTAATAATGGGCACCGATCCGCCCGCGCTGACGGCATTTCTTCCAGGCGGGAGGAACAATTCCAGCCGTAACCAGAGCTGGTGAGGGGCACGCAGAGAGGCTCAGGTGTCCCCCAGGGACATCGGGGTCACCACAAGTGGCTTGTGTCTCGTCTTGGTGCCCAGTCGGGGCTCGGGGCGCATCCGGATGGGTGCGTGGGACCCCCCAGGCAGGGCAGGATCCAGGGAGATCCTTTGGATGCCCGCGGGGATGGGGAGTGGTGGCCAAGGTGGAAGGTCCTGGCATCTGGCACAGGGACAATGGCGGGAGGGCTGGGAATGTCCCAGTGCCACCAGGAGCAGCCCCAGGAGCAGAGCCACGAGCGCTGCGTTGTCCCCGGGTGTCACAGGGGCTGTGGGACCCTGCGGGTGGCACCCACAGACCCTTGGGGGTGACACCCAGATCTTCACGGGGGTGGCACCCAGGTCCCCACAGGGATGGCACCAAGCAGAGCCAGGTGGGAAGAGCAGCCAGGGCCCAATGGAAATGGCACCCAAACCCCACAGGGATGGCACCCAAAACCCC